TAGATAGATAGATAGATAGATAGATAGATAGATAGATAGATAGATAGCAGGTTTAAGTATGTCTGTCTGAATAGTAGGTTTTATGGAATCATGACATTCATATCACTGAAGGATAAAGCACACAATGTGATTCTCAGACAGGGATCAGGAGACAGGGCCTCAACTGGTCCCATGGCATCAAACACAACAAATCTGTCAAAATCTGAGCTCTATGTGCTCTTTCTCTACGCTTCATACCCCTTGCTGCTTATGACTTGGCATTTTGACTTAAATGTTTCACAAACCGGCCATCTGACAGTCAGCCAATCCAAACAGTCTTCCTTAAAGGGTGTGTGTAAAGGTCAGGAGCTAAACTTAAGGGTGAAGATGACAGTCAATTCTGCAGATATGTAAATTTAATGAAAAATATAATTTTTCCAGCGCCAAGCATGCAAATGTGTTTCCACCAAAGAGGCATTTACCCGTAAATGTGCTCTTAAACAGGGTACATTTTGTGTTTCTTCAGAATAGCAAGACCAATTACTTTGTGTCATTAAAACATGTGAATCAGGCAGCCAAAATGCAAGAATTTTCCTCCGTTCAAGCATCACTGCTACATTTCTAAAAATTGGATTTCACTTAGAAAGACACTTGATTTTTTTTATTACTTTGTCAAAAAACTTTGCCTGAGGACACATTTGCCATCACCGTCACATTTCATCCTCTAAGCATTGCAGCCAGCGCTGTGTGTCACATGTGACTTTAGGCTCTCAACCCACAACAGTGTTGTGTTCACCTCTGCTGTTCTGTTACCATCGTCATTTTTCAAGTGATCTAATTAAAAGGAAAGTCTATAAAGTGTCCCAAATCTGTAAACAAGGCTAATTGCACAATGTTTTAACTCAGTGAGGTCATACGGTTTTGTCATTTTTGCTCGAAAGCAAAACTTATTCATGAATGTGCTTTCTTTTAATCAACAATTAAAGCTAGCCTTTAATCTTTCTTGGAATTAAGTCAAAGTTCATCGCTGACATGTAGCACAGCAGAAAGCTTGAGAATGCACGAATGTAAAACCAAATATATTGTTTACTTGACTTTTGAGGTCATGCGGGTGCCTTCGAAGAAACTTGGAAGACAAAGCACTCCTCTAAATTTCGATGTTGTCAGAGAGCTACCTTTCGTCATTCGTCCCTCTGACAGCACCAGCTGGAGTTGATAAACCACAGATTGTAGTTCAGTCAGCCACATAAGTTGACAGTGATGGCAGCTGATTCGACCCTCTTCACTACACCCCATCTTTCAGCTCCCATCAATTTTTCAGAGCTGAAAAATGTATTAATAGAAGGGTACTCCGGGTCCCTATCGTTGAAGAGTTCAGATGAAGATAAAATTCACACTAAAACGCATGAACATCCCACACACATACTCACACCCACCTCACAAGCTCTGAATCATGAATGAAGCAAGACTCCCACACTCTGCAAAGGCAGAGACAAGACCAGGAAAAAAGTGACACACAATGCTGCATCTTTAATCACCTGAGCTGTGACTTCACTTGATCTGCACACACCAGCTGGACCAGTGTTTTCCTGAACGTGTAGCTCATCTCACAGCTCAAGAGTGCCTGCGGTCATTTAAAATTTATTTTCTGGGTATGCTCGAGTTGAAACTAGTGGTAGGAGATGTAAAATTTCCTCTTAGCCCTCCATACTTTGATTTACCACATGCATGGATTAAACATTCTCCACGGCTGACTGGCAGCAATGATGAAGCCTTAATTGTATCATATGTATTACACATTTATGGGCTCTGACACAAAATGTTCCATCTTTAAGCAAAATATACTGAACGCAGCTGTGAGGAAGCAATTACACTTAATTTTGTCTGCGTAGGGCTGTTTGAACAGGGACCACAGTGACATCATGGCTGTGTTATTCTAGTCGGCAATGTGTGATGGGCACATTTGTCTCAACGTCCACAATATCGTGATGTGGCAATAAAGACCCCAAAATTACAATCCAGCAAAGTATTTCTTTCCCCCATAAGTGAACATAACAACCTGAAAGCAAGCACTTAAAAATATCAAAGCCAATCCTGACAAGAAAGTTAAATTGTAAAAAGCCCCTGAACAATCTTGGATGGAGATCTAACTTATCACATAATGTGAAAAACCTTCTAACTCTTCTGTTTCATGTAATGTAGAATGTGCAAAAAACATTACTCATGGGAGGCTGGTAGAGTTTCATACCAAAAATGTTAAAATTTCCTAAAACATTCTTAGGTAAATCACTCGTTTTAGCCTTCAAACTGAGGTAACTTCAGAATTTGCACATTCATTGATTTTATTTAAGGTGTGCAGATCTGTGGTATTTTATGTTTTGCTGGCTAGTAAGTGTAATATGTTCCCAGCTTCAAATGACAACCTGTGTTATGTGTTTTGGACCCACATTGCTGTAATGTCTTAATTCTGTCATCATTATTTTCTGTGCAGTTTAGCATGTGATGTCCAACATGGGTTTAACAAGCATCTTGTAGGAGCCTACTCCCTCTCATTCTCCAAAAGAATATATGAATACGCAATGCATAATCTCACGACCTTCTTCAGCTGAGAATTTTATTTGCCAAGACATTTTCTCCCCTCCTCACAAATGGAACACCATGGGACTCAAGACAGTGCCAATTTATTCCCCAGCCAAGAGTCTACCTCAAATAGTGGCACAAGACAAAGAGACTAATAGTGTTTTGATCTAAGTACACAAGCCGCAGGCATGATATAACACATGCCAGCTTCTTCATTTCTTCAGTTTGCACCAGGGGCGCTCCACCAAAGCACTCATCCTAATCTCCCCTGTGACAAGACCAACCCGGTATGTTGAGAGGTTCTTCCTCCTTGGATTCAAGCTCCAAGCCCAACATGTTGTCCAAGAGGCATATGTGAAATAATACACACACCTTTACAACGGCGTGTATCACAAATCAGTCCCTGTAAAAAAAGACTTGTGATTTTTGTTGATACAGTAAAACAGGGAATACGCTCAAGTGAACTTGCAAATGGTTGTGACATATTTTCCTGGATTTAGCCGACAAACAGAGACTAAAATGGTCTAATATTGGCCGCTCTGTGAAAAAATACACCACGTCCCTATTTCATAGTGTAGAAATAATTTCATTAACAGACGGCACGAGCCGCTGACAGCTCCGGGCGTACCTACCGTCACTGAGGCACTAATTAAGGACCTCTTTAGGATTTAATTAATGCTGCCTTAAACACACTAATTTAGCCAAAACACTGCTTGAACTCAGCATCAGGGGCGGTCAGTTCAAGCTCATAATGGCAAAACCACTCTGTTATTCCTGCAAGAGCTGAACGATCCTCTTAGACATGAAAAATCAATTATCTACAAGCACCACCGTTTTTCTACATCCATAGAAACTGGATGCACACACATTGTAAAAACACATTTAAACGCGGTCATGCTGATTAAAGAAAGACTTGAGAATACAGGAAAGAGATATTTTTACAGTTTATTTTTCTAGCTATTTTATCTTTTCAAATATCCCTGTAGACATCCAGTTGGTGCACATCACCATCAAATCTCAAATATAAAGGATTTTGCCATTGTAATGGCATTTTTCCTCCTGGGCAGAGCATGTCAGTTTATCTGCCTGCAAGATCACACAAAAATCACCTCAGAACCTGGTGCAGAGGTGGAGCAAGAGGAGAGAGGGAAATTGACCCTCTTGCTATGCATTAGTGGCCCATTTCTGTCCCAAACACAGTGTTCACGCACAAATCCGTGCATTATTAAAATGAAAATGCAAAAATACAATGTCAACACAGATGCTAACACAGTTGTCAGTTTTCTCTGCATTTGTTCATGAGCATCCAACATGTAGAGGGACGTGCATACATCTATAAATGACTATTTCGCGCATATTTTTTGTTGAAAATGCAACAGTGCTGTGAGGTTTTGCTTTGTAGTGCTTGGAGTACAAAAACTGGACGCCAAGCAACCAGACACACAATCTCTTGCTGCAGATTCCATTTTTTTTTAAGTAAGGGCATGTTCTCATCTTGTGCTGCTAAGTTAGGCATTGTACACAAAGATTTTTGTTGAAAAGAACACAAACTTCAGCTCTGCAGGTGCTGCGCTTTCTTGTACTTGAATATAAAAAGAAGAACGAACAGCCAAAGGCACAGAAGTGAAGCACAAGCCAGATAACACAAGTATCATCCCACTACCTGTAGCATATTAGACCCCCTACTCGCACCTATTAGCATGCGCATAATTTTTTTTCGGAATCTGCCATCCTCGCAGTTTCCTCTCTGCACAGATTTCCCTCTCCTCATTCAGACCAGGCCCCTCTCAGTGGGGTACTGTGAGCTCCAAATTCACCCTTCACCTCTCTCTTAGCCAGTGACATAATCAGACACATATCCATCCATAATCCGATCTCCTCGAGGAGATGTGTAGTACATCCACTACTCCGGCTTCTTTTTTCACAAGAAGGTATGAAGTACAACTGTGCTCCTGATGAACGTGTCTCTGAATGGATTCATTCATTTTTCAGCCAAGCGTGCTGGGCATCAAATACATGCATAGTTTTTGTGATAACCCTGCAAGCAGAGCGCCAATATGGCCCAATGTGAAAACACTACGCCAGCCAGGGGATTAATAGTCACTTAAAACCTTCCCTTTTTCATCTCAAACATGTGGACACTTAACTACTTCCAGCTGAGTCAAAAGTACTGAAGACAAGGCGAACCAATCAAGTCGAGTGAAATAAGCAAGAGCAGAGATGATGACCCTGGACTGAATCCAATCCCCTGTTGATCACTGACGGCAATGAGTTTTGCCAGAGGTTCCAAATGAGAAAGACTTGGTAGGTGGATGTGTGCCCTCTCACGGAGAAGCAACATGGTCTAAATGAGGGTTATAGCAATTAGAGGGCGCATAGAATGTTATTATCCCTAATGGGAAATTGCGGCTCGGCTAAACTAAGAATGGAACAAAAGGGATGTAAAACCTGTTGGTATTAAACTGAGGCATGGCCATAGAGGAATGGACACAGTATTTCCTTACATGTGCACAACTCTCAGATCATGAAATATTTATGTTCTGCCTACTATCGTGTGTGAGATCATTTTAAAAGCTAACCGGGCTGGCTTCAGTTTTTTTTTTTTTATTCAAACAAATTATATTTTAGATTACTTGATCACTGAATTATTCTATGTGATGCCATAAGTAAAGGATGCTCTCAAAATAAATATGCATAACCCAGCATAAAAGACAAGAAAGGAGCTGGGATTTTGACTAGGCTGAATACAATAAATCATGCAATTAACATACTTTACCTGATTACATCTCCTACGATGAATGTTGCTATGTATCCCTTTTATATCCATGTTAAATTGGGCATCTCTTCAGTCCTTCAGCTCTGCAGCTCCCATCATCGTTGAGTCGAGGAGTTAAGTTCGTCTTGCTGATGGAGCTCTCGTAATAAAAAACACGTTTGAAAACTCTCCCTTAATTCTCAGTGCCGGCGTGCACTGTTTGCATCCTCTGTTGCCTTGTTTTTCCAGGGGTCCGAACAATAGCTTCCAGTCGTCCCCCTTTTCGGTCCACGCTCTGGAGTCACCGACGCGTCCGCGTCCTGCTCTCGCAGCCGGGAGGCGAGTTCACACCGAGCCCGGAGCGGTGGAGTCTAACAAAGAAACGCGCTTTTCTCCTCTCTCTGCAAATGGTTTTTCGTTCATTACTGAAAACAGAAAGTGATCACGGTCACACTGCGATCAGTGTCCAGCGGGAGAGTAACTGGCCGTCAGCTGGATGCGGTCTGGTGTGCGCACGGGACACCAGTGGCGGATCCACGGGAGGGATCAGTGCACATTTCACTCTGCCCAGACTGCCACCAGCGATCCTCGTTATCATTCAGACATTTACTGTTTCTCACGATGCTTACGGCCCCGCATTTATTTCCAGTCAGTTGAAGACTTTAGAGAAGAAACTTTAAAGACTTTATCAGGGTTTCTTTTTATAATAAGGAGGAAACAAATAGGTAACCAACGGTAAGAAATATAAAGAAACAACCATTTGTATGTCCCAAAAACTGTTTCACTGCCTTTTTAGTTTGGAGTGTATTATTTCCCCATCATTCCTTAATCATATATGGTTCAATTGGTACATCTTACTGAATTGCAGCATGTATTAAATCACCCCCTGATGAGGGATACCTCTCCATCATCCTTTCTTTCATTATTTAAGAGTTGAGCCAGAGTTTGACAAAGTTATCAATGAAAATATTGAGTAATTATTCAGTAATTACTAAATAATGAATATAGCGTTATTTTTTGTTGGTATTCAGTGTAACTACTGATCTTGAATAATCAGTTTGTTGGATTGGTTTGATTATAGGTATTGAACGCCATATTTTGCAACTCCTGTATGACTAACAGTGCACGATATAGTTTTTGACATATCAAACCATTAAATGGCTGATGACAAAATCATGTGGGCTGGAAATCATTATGTGCCTTTTAATGGGTCTTTCAGTGATAGCATATTTTGAAAAAAAAAAAGTCTCATTTAACAATAATATAAATACCAAAGTTTTCTTTATGAATGAAAAAACCTTTTGGCTACAAAACTGATTATTTGTTAGTTTAGGACAGACGATTATTTTGTGTTATGCGATTAGAGATCATTGATCAAACAGATCATTGCATCATATGGGCCCCCTAAATGACCTCAGTATCTTTTAAATAATTCCATGTTCAAAGTAATATAGATGGCAAAGCTTGGGCATTCAAATGTACAAGATAAAAAGTATAATAATCAAAGTGAGAAAACTTCAATGGTACTCAAATTGATCTTATTAACAATTCTGAGCAAAACATTTCTCATACATTCATATTGGTATCAAAGGATCAGCTGTTTAAACCGACTGTATGCTGTATGGGCATTTCAGAACTCATGTTCTTTGAGAAAACAAACACTAAAATAGAATTCTATGGGATAATATCTTTGTCAGCTGTGCATGTTTGCTCTTGATTACTTGCAATACACAAGACGAACTGCAAGCTCATTAAGTTTAACAAGTCAGAACTTGTTAGATGCCTCTGGCATGTAATTCACTCTTAACATGGAGTGGGATTTACCAGCATCTTCCTCTGTTAAAGCCACCAGTGGCATAATAATGACAATCACAATTGACGAATGCCCTGCTAAGCACTGGAAAGGCAAAAAGAGCAAAATAATATTTGGATTATCCCACTGAGTGAACATTTAGTATTCCTAAGCCATTGGAGCACACAGCTAATAATGGCACTTCAAAGCTCCAAGGAATGGTTAATAGCACAGCTGCCCTAAACACAAATATCTTGAACTAAGCTTTAATATTTTATGAATTCTTTAATGCCAGACTGGAAGGATTTTTTTCTCATAAAATTAGTGAAAATAATCCCTTTCAAAGAAACACCATTAAATTAGTCCCTCTCGCTGTTGTGCCCATTTCTCTGTGCTCTCCAAGAGAAGAGACACCACATGCATCTTTATCTACAGTGCACTTTTTAGGATTTGAAATACGCTAGAAAAAGACTTCAATTAATTTAATCAAGAGTGAATTAGTAAGAAGATAGAAAGAAGCAACATAACAACACTGAGAAGAGTCACACAGATAAATACTAGTGGAATGTCCAGTCAACCTAACATGCAGGTTTTTGGACGGTGGGAGGAAGCCGGTGTACCCGGAGAGAACCTACGCAGACACAAGAAGAACATTTAAACTCCACACAGGTTCCTCCACGGTTCCCCCAGTGACTTGAACCCAGAACCCTCTTGCTGTGAAGGGATGGTGCTAACAACCACAGCAGTGATACCTGTGTCGATTATTCTCTTTGTAACATTGATACAAACATACTGAAGGTGTAAACGAGGTATCTTCAATAAAATGTTGTCTTCAGTAAAAACGTTTTTCGCTGACTTCTATGTGCTATACAGATAATGTTACTTTTAGATCTTTTTTTTGTGAAGCAGTTCAGTGTGGGGGGGGGGGCTTACTTTGCACACTTGTGTTTATGTTATTACAGCTCATAGCATGAAAGGTTACAACATAATAATCTGCATCTGGGACCACAGATGGAAATTAGCCACTGGCCAAATCTGCTACAATGCAGCAGCGGAGTTTGAATTCCGTCCCCTACCCCAGATGTTCATTGCAGTTTTTTTCAAAATTATGAACAATTTGCTCGAGGTTAGACATACAAGTTTGAGCTTATGCACTTCCAACTATATGGAATATGTATAATTCAATATATCCTTATCCTGTACATGAGATAAATAACTTTATTTTTCACCATTACATTTAGCAAGTTTTTCTATACTTATGGAATATAAGGATTTAAAAAAAACTCTTTGTTTATTTAATTCATGTAAGTAACTGAAAGGAAAACAGACCCCTTTTTCAGAAAATTCCCTCAGTTAGCAAATTACTTCTGGTACAAATAACAGCCTGAGTGTGCATTGACTGACTTAGGGCTATCCTCCCTGCCCTTGTCTCTGCATGATGTCATTCAGCCTGCATCAAATTGAGGACAACCAGTATCTAAATGCAGACAGCACTCTGGAGTGATCTCTCAACTGAGAAACATACAGCTCAGTTTTAATCGTAGAGAATGGTTGCGTTGTATTTGACTTTACAGCCTCTGTAAGCAGAGCAAGCTACTTAATGTGTAAACATTTTCATGCTACTGATAACAGCAGTTGAAATAAATTCAAATCTTGTTAAATTTGTTTTATATGTTGTGCTCTGAATCCTCACTAGAAGTCTTCAAATAGATTATTTCAACGTAAATGATGACAAAGTTTAATTTTATCCGAATTTTAGTAATAAATTGGAGACTGGATGTTAGTTTATCATAATAAAAATGGTCAGATAAGACAGAATTCTGATGATACATGCAAAAATGTCCACTCTCAGTGATGTAAATCACCACAAGATTGAGAGAATAGTTAAGAGTGAGTAGGTCTCTGTACACTCTGATATTAAAACCAGGTTTACTATTTTTTGTATTGTTCAGTTTTTATGAGGTTGTGGGGATGGCAGCAGGAAGGGAGCTGCAGAGAAGTGTTGACAACTATAACTCTGTATCCTGGTCTCAACCCTGGGTTGACACTAACAATTATTTATGTAGTCCATGTTGCTTGCTGGATAGCCATCTTGATAACCAGTGGTTGGAGGATGACGTGACCAGGCATGTCATCATTGGCCATAGCCCAGGCAAAGAAATTGATGTTTTTATTTGTGGACTGCTGATTGGTGCATTAGGATTTTTCTATTCAGTCTGTTTCATGACCTGTGATTGTGCTACTTTGCTGTCAGCTTGTAAACCAAACACTGACAAATGATTTCCACCTGAGACGAAAATAAAGAAGACATAAAACATGTCTCTGTGAAGAGTAAAATGTAAAATGTTCTCTCTCTCTCTCCCTCTCTCTCTCTCTCTATATATATATATATATATGTAGAGATATATGCAAGTATGTCTTTAGTATGTGATATGAGAACGAATGTTAAAAAAACAGCCAGTTTGTGCAAAAAGAGGTAAATCTTAAGCTTTCAAATACCCGCAAGTGACAAAAAATTTTAAAATTACAAGATTTGCTGCTGCTTTGTGACCACTGTGAGTGTTAGGAAGGAGTGACACACTTCAATTGATTTAATTAGTCCAATCTTTTCCTGAAAAATGCAAAACACTCAAAACAATATTTTTAGCACATGGAATAAAAACCATGGGTCTCAGGTGCTTTTGGTCAAAACATAATGAAAGACAGGTGTTTTCTGTTAGTATTTAAATAGTCAGCGGGTTCACATTTTGATCTTACATTTTACAAACTTATACAAGAAAGTTGTTGTTCATAAACTGAAGGAAAGATAAAACTGATAAAAAATAAGTGAAATAGGATAAAACACTGTCTCTTTGTGTATGACCAACTCTTACTTTGTATTGGGATAATTTACTACTCCATAATAACAATGACAATGTTTTCTGATATTTTTGGTGGGTTGCATTGCCATAAATGGTCACATGCAGCAACAGTTATTCTACATTGTTTATCTGCATAAGGCATCACATTCATTTTTTTTGGCTAGACTATTTGACAACTTATATTTTGTTTATGATTTTTTTCTTACCAAAGAGAAATTTATAGAGTACTTTATCTTGATATCATTTACAGGATAATGGCAAAGTGTCAATCTTAACTTGAACATTTCTTGGCTCAAAAGGAGCTTAATATACCATGAGTCTGCATCATTAAATCACTGAGAAAGACAGATGTGCTGGATGATCATTTTTATACTGTAGATGGCAACTGTCTACACTTTCTTTACAGTGATGGTCAAAAACTCCCACATAATTTCAAAATGTTTCAGAAACAATGTGAATAAAACCAAAAATAATAAACATCAGGCCTCATTTGAAGACTGGTATGTTCTCTCTCTACATATATATGTATAATTATTCATGTCAGAAATTGTTTTGGGGGTATGAAATGAACTCCTGGCTCCAAGGGCCACTTTGTCTGTGTGGGGAGATATCTCACCGAAAATCCAAAGGTAAAGCCGTTTTCTTTTATCTTCATCCTTTGCTTGCTGCACACTAATAACTGTCTTGCCAGAGCATTTAACCTTGAGCCAATCTGTCTTTTCACTTAGAAAAGCTGAGTTCTTGAACCATGAAATGGAGGTAGTTGTCTGTCTGAATTGATTTTACAACCCAGGGTATTGGGTTGTAAAACCAAAGGATTAATCAATTATTGCCTTGGCAAATGTCATGAGGTCAATTGAACTAAAATCTTAATAAGAAATTTTCTTTTTCCATCTGCCTCGTGTTAATTTTCACAATG